AATTTTTATAAATCCATATAGTTAATTTTATAATAATTACTTACTAGAATACATTATTATGACACCTACCTATTATCTAATTACAGTATTTCTTGCGAGATCAGGATAATGTATTCGTGTCCATTCTGAGCACTTATTACTTACCGGAAATTTATTTTATTCTTTGAAACATGTACTCTGTAGCGGCAATAGAACAGTGTCAAATGTAGTGCGTGTGGCGCGGCGGCGACGATTGTATGCGATATCATTAGTAGCCGCCGGCACGTGTATCTTGACCTTGTACTTTCGAATAGCTGCACAATTTCTTTGACAGGTCAGTATCCGACCTTTGATGACGCCGACAACAAAACGCCGCGCACTATCAAAGTGCCGATGGTCAAAACTAGGGATGCACTCTTTTTTCTTTTAATGAATATTTTCATTCGCTATGTATATTTATGGTATTGTTCGTAATGCGCATAAGTCCAATTTTCCAATTTTTTTTTCATTATATTTTTTTGCGTCTCATAGAGTCCCTAAGCGTATACCCGAACTCCTATACTCTCTGAAACGACACTTAGTCCTAACTGCAAGACGCAAGAGTCTCGCAAGCTTAGTCTTGTTCTTGCGCAAATCTTGCACGGTCAGTCTTGGTCTTGGTCTTGCTAAAAAGAGGCGGTCTTGCTCTTGGTCTTGGTCTTGCAAAAATGCAAGAACAAGACCAAGACTGCAAGACCAAGACCGATTTTGGGCAACACTACTTATCCATAGTCGCCCCTTATAACACCCACGGGACGAAATAGTGCGATATATTTTATTAATTAGACTTGAGTCATTATTGAATCTGAATCAAATTTATGTTGGACCTCTAGAAAAATCTCAAAAAAAATATAAACAAATTCGGTATATATTCCTTCTCCGAGATATTACGTTACGTACACTTTCCTTTTTTTTTTGAAATCGATTAACAACTGTACTCATCTTAGTTTATGTATTTATTTTGTCCTTACAATAATAATTGATAATTTTATTAATGATAATGGCCATTAGGAATTTTTAAACATTGAGGACAACTCTCCCAGATACTGACCATGTGCGGGAGAGATAACACTCGTATTTATCAAACAAAACATTAATATCATCTATAATGGCAGAGAAAAGGACATTTTAATTTAATAGAATTACTTTTATTTTCAGCGTTAAAAATCTTACTAACTAGGTAGTTGGTAGAGTTTTTTTTTTTGTTGAAAAGTCTTCTTAATCTTAATATATATATAAGAATCTTAGAAAGACTTGTCATACCATAGCTTTTGCCCAAGACTATCAATAAACCACGTTTTTAATAAGACGGGAAAAGTCTATGCACTTCAAAAATTTCTTTATTTAGCATTTCTTACAATATTAAAAAACTACTTACACTTAATACAGAACAACTAAGACTAAAAACTTAAATAAACTTTTCTTACATAAACTAATTCAAAAGTATAAACAAATAATAATAAAGGATTTAGAACATAATTTAATTGTTTTTTTTTTCAGTAAGTTCAATTAAAAATATTTGTAGCATAGAAACGCTGTTACGAATTGGTCAGCTCGAACAGGCAAGCTCGTACCAAAACATTAGCGTGAAGTAGTAGCTACAGTAACATAAAATTACAGCAGAATTATTCTGCTGTGCTATTATATATATTATATATTGCTATAACTAAATTTGAGTTTAATTTAATTAGAGTGACAGCCAATCTATGTTGCAAAAGTGAACGGCAGAGACGGGAAGGGTCGCCCTAGATGGGCCAGATTAAGAGTACCACAGAGTACATTGAATAATCCGAAAAAGAGTACCCGTAACTGACAAGCATGTATGCGTAGGTACATGGATGAAAAGGAGGGGAGAGTGGTGTGTCAGGATCGTGCCAAATGGAAGTTTGTAGTCTCTGCCTACACTTCTGGGTGACAGGCGTGAGTGTTTATGATATGTTATGTTTAAATTAGTATTTTCCACCATTAGAAGTGATATAACTACATATAACATAAGTATTACTTTATCACGTTTAATTTACCTATTTTATATTCTCGACATCAACCATTTTTAAACTGAACAGCATTTTAAACTAAAGGTAGCCATGATTAATTTTAACACATATATAACAGATAAACAATAAGTTAAAATAAATTAAAACACTAGTTTCGTTTAATGTGTAGTGTTCACATAAATATAAAATATCATTATCTTAAAAATAATGTGATTTTAAATGTGGAAGAGTTCATTTAGTCTTTTGATACTATGGTTTTTATTAATATATCTAAACTAGCGCTCCGCCCGGCTTTGCTCAGTTGATTTCTGGATCTCAACAACAACGACACCCACCGGGCCCAATTGTGAATCCAAACCATGCTCTAATTAACTTAATCACACACACAAAACTTATCAAAATTGGTCCAGCCGCTTAGGAGTTCAGTCTCATACACCCGGATGGAAGGATTATATAATATAATATAATATGCATGTACCTTTCTCCTTTCTCTTAAGGGCCCCCGAGACGGTCAAACGGTTTGATTCAAACCTCACGTGTTTGACCAAACCGTTTGATGCCGCTTTGAATTCGCATCAAACAGAAGCGCGCAGTGTGGCTTCAAAGTTCAAACAAGAAAGCCCTGTTGCGGTTTCAAAAATGCCGTCGACTATGGATAAAGGTTTTCTCACGTTTATTGTATTAATATCTTCCTTAAATAATGAGCAAAAAATAAAAAGAATTTGGTGCAAAGAATGGTACAAATTAAGATATCGTTTAACCTTATACGTGGTTAGTTGTAGCACGAATGGGTCAGCACGACCGGGGAAAGACCACGCTCTCACAGAATACCAGCGTAAAATAGCAGCTTAACACTGTTGTGTTTCGTATGGTGAGTGTAGAGAACCGGAGACCCTTTTTACTGGAAAAGAGGCATTCCGTCTTAGTCCTCATGGGTGACAACGCATCTGCATTTTAATTCGCAAACGAGGATAAATGTAGATGCCTATAGACCACAGCAACCACTTATCATCAGTTAGACTGTGTGCTCGTTTGTTACCCTATCCTATAAAAAAAACATCTACAAAGAGTGCTAGAAACTAGCGCACCAGATGATTATAAGAACTTTCTGAGGATGGACAATGGTTCTTATAAAAATTTATTGAATAAAGTTCGGCCATTAATTCGAAAACAGGATATCTACTAACATGAGGCAAGTTCAGTAAATTAAAGATTGTCTATAACATTGAGGTATTTAGCATTTTAGAAACCACACAGAACGTATCGCTTCGAAATTCAGCACAAGACTGATGAGGTTTGATCAAACACATCGCGAAGACGACAAACGGTGCTTCAAACAAAACCAAAATATAAATTTCCATCAAACGAGTTTCAAACAAGAAGAAAGGTTCTCGAGTGGCAGCCTCGTACCGGCAGGCGAAGTGTAGGGCGTCCCCCCACTAGATGGAGTGACGACCTGGTAAGATATGCAGGAAGTCGATGGATGCAGGTGGCTCAGGACCGTGCTTTGTGGCATTCTTTGGGGGAGGCCTATGTTCAGCAGTGGACTTGTGAAGGGCTGTAATAATGATGATGATGATGAGCTTCAAACACGTAATGTTTGATCAAATCTGTCAAACCAACGGCATAAACGATCAAATTGGTTTGACTCAAACCAAAATCTACGTGTTTGAATCAAACCGTTTGACCGTCTCGCGGGCCCTTTAAATCATTCTGTCTATTGATGAAAACTGCATCAAAATCCGTTGCTTACCTTAAAAGATCTAAGCGTACAGACGGCGGGAAGCGACTTTGTTTTATACTATGTAGAGAAGAGACCAGCAAGTAAACTTGTTCTGCGACATATTTTGTAAAAGGATTAGGAGTCTCACCAGCGTTGAAAGTTGAAACACATGGACTAGATTATTTTAATTATTTCGATGGCATAATGTCGTATATTATTATTAAATATGCAAATTATTCAATCACGATTGTATTACAAGAGTTATTATAATATTACAGAACACATCGATGATAACAACTCCTGGAAATAAGGTTGATAATCTTACCACACTATTTTTAAGATGATTTATTTATTTTATCGCATAACACAATAAATAATTGTTAACTAAGTATTGGGTATTATCCTTTCTTTCTGTTTTTAATGGTTTTTAAACAACGTTACCCCACACTAGGATTTTCTGCTGTATCGTGGAGGCAGTTTACAAACATAAATTGCACAAGGACAAACATCCAGACTCGAAACTATTATTTCTAGGCCATACAAATACTTGTTCCGTGCGGGATGCGAACCCGCGGCCATTGGCGAATCATTCTATTTATAATCTGCGTTTTTTTCTTGGTATCTGACATAAAAATGAATATTTGTTTGTTTGTTTGTTCGTTTTCTATTTATTCTATAATCATCTAGACTCTATTGTAAAATAAAAGAGGTATTGTGACACATACCGGGCACTAGCTAGTAAGATTAAATATAGATAAAATTTAAAACAATACAAATTATACAAATTGGTAACATTTAGATTCTTATTCGAAGATAGATGTGCACACCTTCCATTTACCAACAGTTGTACTATGTGGTCGTTTGTGAAAAAAAACCTATTATGAAAAAAGGCTTTGTGCTATTTTCATAATAGGTTTTTTCATAACCAATAACACAATGAAATAAATTTACGTAATTTGCAGTCCTCATTTGATGATTCAATAGATTTCTCTCAATTTCCCTGTAAAATCCAGTGTAACACAATGCACTTTTTTCCTCGACTATACCGATGACATGGACGCAGAGAAGTCCACAAGTCCGAACGTACTTATTCAGTGGTACATTCACAGTCCACTTGATAACAAGGCAGTGGAGTTTACCCAAATAAAACAATTATTCTTGACTTAGTTACTGTGACTTGTGTGATGTTCGTGATGTTAACTTGACTTTTTTATTTTTCATAAAAAATATTTAGTTTTTGTGCCAGCTGCTTTAAGATCCCCATAATGATTAAATGTGAGTATATAGATATAACATTTATTGAATTTTTCACTACACAAGTCCCATCTCAAACATTGACCTTGGGATATGACTTTGCGGGATTAAAGTCCACCACTAGGTTTATGTATTGTCAAAATAAAAAGATCCATTAGCTATCCAATTCTGAGAAAAGCCTTATCAAAGTTTTGATCTCACTTTGTATATAAGTATTTAAGAAATTTAATTACAAGTCTTTAAAATTGTTGGTGCATATATAATCGAACGTAATCCAGTTATAAACTCACGTCAAGATTTTATAAAATACAATCTATAGATAAGTAGTATAAATTATATATCTATAATTATTTTTCGTGTAACATTTTAATTAACTTTAATTGACTTTACATCATAATAAATGAATCAAAATAAATTTACAAAACATCAAGAAATCTTCATTATAAGAAATCTTATTTCAGTGAATACTTCAGAAAACCCTCTGAAGTGTTACCTAAAAGTACTTGAATAGTCTTAGTCTTTGAAGAGACCTACATTGTAGTGGACGCTGGGCTAATGCAGGTAAGCAATTAAAAATCTCCCAATATGGGCAGTGCCTGTATTGGATTGTCATGGGTTAGTAAATAATATAAAGAAGGAATGACAATTAGCAGCTTCCTAAACTGCGATAACGTCATAAATCATACAACTTTCTTGGGGCGTATCTATTTTCATAGGTACTTTATTAAACTTTTAAATTAAGGAAGGTAAAGCTTGTATCTTAACTTTTGTATTTATCTACAATTTACTTATCTTCACGCACAATCCCTGACGGGGTAGCCAGAGAGAACAGATCGCCAAGTGTCACGATCCTTACAAACCTCTTTCGCTTCTTTCAGATTCATTATCTTCTTCATGCATGCACGTCTAGGTATCCGAGTACAATTTACGCACTCATTATTTAAAATTTCCAAAATATTTAATTAAAATAACCACCCGATGACATATAATACATTTTTTTTAACATAGATACATCCATACACAAGTTTAAAAAAAAAGTTAGTTTCATGGATTCATCAATTCAATAATAAGTAATAACGTAGTACCCGGGTTATAAATAGAATAGTAAACGATTGAATTATCTCCCACTGCATGTTAAACGAACTTCATTTAAAATAAATAGTCACCTATGCAGTGTACTATCAACCCAACAAGTATTAAGAGTCAAGAGCTATGAGCCGCGGTACAGCCATACTGCGGCTATATTATGGTTGCAGCACTAATGGGTTCGCTTGACCAGTGAAGGACCACGTCCTTACAGAATATCAGCGTGAAATAGCAGCTTAATGCTGTAAATAACCGGAGAGGTGTCTCTTATTGCTAACGGAGCATTCCATCTTAGTTCTCGGGGGTGACAACGTATTTAGATTATTAATCAAGGATAGATTTAGATGTCTATAGCCCACAGCATCTGCTTTTTTTATAGTATAGGGTGACAAAGGAGCACACAGTCCACTGATGGTATGTGGTTGCTGTGGCTCACAGACATCTACATCTATCCTCGTTTGCGAATCAAAATGCAAATGCGTTGTCACCCGTGAGGACTAAGATGGAATGCCTCTTTTTCAGTAAAACGGGTCTCCGGTTCTCTACACTCATCATAAGAAAGGCATCAGTGTTAAGCTGCTATTTTACGCTGGTATTCTGTGAGAGCGTGGTCCTTCTCCGGTTGAGCCGACCAATTCGTGCTACAACAATACTACTTATATAGCTGCAGCATGGCACTACCACGTATAAATTGCTTACCGCCACTTGTGTGTGCTCGTTTGTCACCCTTATTCTATATAAAAGTATGCTAAATTCAACACAACCGATCAACGCTACTTCTGAGTCCGATGGGACGGTAAACTGATACGAACGAAGAGATATCAGGCGCAGGACCAACGGATTTACGTGGTTTCAGAGGCACGGGGGTTAGACACCGCCAACATCCTGACTCTGGGCACCTACTGAGAATTTCTTGACGGATAAACTCAATAACTCATTTTTGGCCAGACCCAGGATTCGAACCCGGGATATCATGATTAGCAGTCGCACTACTACAACCACTAGACCAACAAGGCAGTCATAATATATTAATATGATAGTAATCTTTTCTTATATTTACGCGAAGACTACACATTAAATGAAACTATTTTTTACGGATTCTATCGCGTTTAATTTAACTTTTTAATTTCCAACTTTTTGGGTGCTTTACAGCACCCATGGTCACGGGGGGACTAAGGTGTTTGACGTCCCGATGTTATAGTTAGCCCGACTACCTTCAGTTTTTGAATATTACTTTTTGGTCCGATCTACGCAGAATGAGCCTACAGTATCTAGAAGTCTTGCAGTGGCTGGGTTTGGATTTAGTTTTATTAATTATAGGATCCCAAGCAGATAGCACCACCCATCCATCTTCTCTATTGAAATTAGGATCATCATCCTTGGTAGGAATCGATGTTCTTCTGCAAGGATTTGTGGTCTGTCAAATCTAATGTAATGTTATGGCGGGGACAGTCTTGAACATGTTCACAAACTGCAGACTTCCCGGAACGTCGGTGCTTCAAGTCAGCTATATGTTCTTTTATGCGAGTTTTTATAGATTTTTTGTTTGTCCTATGTAAGAGAGACCACATTCACAATCCAGCTTGTACCCTCCTGCATCTTGTAGAGGTATATGACACTCGACGGATGATAAAAATTGACTAATCTTCTTCGACGGCCTGAAGAATGTTTTAATGGAAGCTCGCTTCAAGATGTAGGCAACCTTGTCTGTGACTCCTCTAACATAGGGTCACTCCCGGCTTCACTCGGTCACTGGGACGTAGGCGCAGGACCCGAAGCTTGTTGTCTTGCAATACTTGCTAGACTTGCTGAAACTCGGCGGCCAGATGTTTGATCCCTCGTGATCTCTGGAACAAAGACTTTCCCACGATAGCTAACTGTGATGAATGATGGTGCGATTCACCATTTAAATATCGGTTGGTATGGGTCTTTTTCCGGTGTGACCATGTATCATCAGGATTTCGGATGACTAAAACATCTAGGAAAGCTAAATAATTGTTTTCCTCTAACTCCATTATGAATTGTATTGGTCTAAAAATGCAATTACTTTGTCCGATGTTAAAATTGTGAATGTATCCTCAAGTATCTGAAAAGAAAGTCTGTAACAGACTGACTACGATGTGATCCGGAATTTATAGAACACTAATGAATAATGATAGCAAAACCACGGTAGAAAGGTTGTTTAACATATAAATTTACAGGTACCTTTGAAAAAGCAAATCAAATCATTTATATATTATGTGCAAGTACAGTATAGGTACTTAAATGAATCAAAACATTCTTTTTTAACATTTATAATAATTTTATTCAATGTGTAGTGTTCGCGTAAATATAAGAAATCATTATAGAGATAATTTAACTTATGCCTACGAAAATTCTACATAATACTTAATTTTATCTACAATATTAAAAACTATGATAATAAAAACTAAAACTAGAAACTTAATTATCATTATACTAATTGTATATTATATTCGTAACAATGCAAATTATAAGAGTGCACACATTAGTTAAATGCGGTCAGCAAATATTAGGCTATTTATTAACACTCGTTATAAAGTAATTGTTTACAAGGCTGAAGGAGACGACGTCAGCTTGTTGAGCGAATCCTAATAGGTAATGATGAAGTGGATACATTCAATACAATACTAATCATAACGTTGATGGGCTCTATTGGGTCGTGTAGTTTTACGTAACACTAATTGATATTAATGTGTGGACTTTCATATCTTGCTCTATACTTGTTTACAGATAAAAAAGTATATCTTGTTTATTGAATTCCTGACTTATTTTATTTGACATGTTATCTGTCACCCCATTTGTCCCGTGGGTGTCGCAAGAAGCGATTACGGGAAGTGCTCAATAATTTAAAATTTAAAATTTTGTACAGCCGACTTCAGTATGAGTTATTAAGAATAACTCAAAAACTATTGGTTTGACTATGATCAAATTCATATGGGACCACACGAAAAGTATCAGCTTTGAAATAAAAAAAGAATCATCCAAATTGGTTCAACCAGTAAAAAGTTATGAGGTAAAACACACATAAAAAAAACATACAGTCGAATTGAGTACCGTCTCCTTTTTGGAAGTCGGCAGAAAAACCTATTGGTTTCCGATAGGTGGCAGTATAACACACGTGTTCATCAGAACCTATATATTACACCCATACTGGTATTTACGTCTGACGGAATAAGATCATCAACCCGCCTGTGAAGCGTGACGTTTAAGGTAAACCATATTTAATCTGTGGGTAAACTGTCCTTATTCCCCACACGGGAAAGGCCTACGTTCGTCAAGCAATATTTAACGGCTGATGAAGGAGATTTCTTTGATCATAATGACGTCTTTCTAAGATATCACACTCTCTGTCTGTACATATCTGTTGCTCGATACAGACCGTTTACTAGGGTTGGCAGATTTTCTACAGACTTCAAAAAAGAGCCGGTACTCAATTCGACTGTATGTTTTTTTATGTACTCGTATGTTACCTTAATACATTTTAAATTACCTCATAACTTTTTTACTGGGTAAAAAAGTTAAGAGGTAATTTCGATAATTCTTTTTTTTTATTTGAAAGCTGGTGCTTCACATGTGGTCCCATATAAATTTGATCAAGGTCTAGCCAATAGTATTTGAGTTATTCTTATCAATTTATATTGAAGTCGGTTGTACAAAATTTTTAATTTTTAATTATATCATTTTTATTCACGTAAGTGTAACAAGAATTGTCCATTAGAGTACAATTCTATGATCCACTTTAGAGATACCCTTACATAAGTAACAAAAAAAAACAGAATTCAAGTTCAAGCGGCACATCGGTTCGAGTAGTGTATATTTTCTTTGACAGCGGTCAATTTTAATGCCATCTGTGAAAAAATCCTTAGATAAACGATATAATTAGAAAAATGTATGAGATTTTATTCTTGGAAAAC